TAAGGCCAAACGTTTCAAAACGTTGGAATTTAGCTCCGGAAAGAACTATTTACGCATGTCCAGCTGTATGCTGCATGCTCAAGAGTAAGAAATCCTAAGAATTTATTCTTTGCTGTTAAAAAGGAAGAAAAGAAATTTTCTTCAAAATAATGTTTACCATGAAGTTCTATAAGATTAAATTAAACTTAAAAAAATTATTAAACCGCGAAGTAGGGTTTTGTCGAAGTATTTTCCAAACAAATCAGCTTATTTAAATTTTATCGATTGGTTTGCGAAATGTTAGATTCAACAATACTAAGGATTTCAATATGTGTCTGTGTGTTGCCAAAAATTCTAGTATTCTTAAATAGCTTCATCAGACTGGGATATTTATTTGCGTGCCATACCTGGTGTCAAACTCGTTCGGAAATATCTAACATATCCTTTACTTACAACTGTTTTCTCAGATCAATGATCAAGAATGGCTTCGTACTAATGAACCCTGTAGGTCTCGGAGAGGACAATTATTCATCCGCCCCCGTCGACTATTGCAACTGACTTTACTAAATAACAGAAGCCACATAACTTGAGGACTTCCAACGGCAGCAACAAACAAAATCGATAAAGGTTGCAACTCGAGAAAATAATGACACGAGATGTTGACTTTCCACACTACTTCAAACAAAAGGTTAGGAAGGAAACCACTATAAATAGTAGAACGAGCAACAATAGCTAGTGGGCTTGAGAATCCTATTATCTCACCATTACATATCAGTATCTAAAAAAATGTAAATAATTGCTCTGAAAAAAAAAATGGCCCCGATTTTACATCTCGAGATACTAGACAAAAACCCAAAGAAGGATCTGTAATGTAATCGATCCTGAATTGACATCTCGACTTCAGTCACTTTCTCACCGAAGTGACGTGGCTTCACTTTGTCTTTTCTACAAATATTTATATAGCAACTTCTCGGACGAGCTTTTTTCCAAGATGTTCCGGCTACAAGACTTTAAGCGTGCTACTAGATTGGCAACTAGGTCCCATTCTCTCACTTCCCATCTGTGGAACTTCCTTTCGTTTACTTGCGTTCCTGATAACCAGAATCTTTAAATATTTAAAGGCAACGTCAATCACCATCTTCTGTCTACTGTTGCTTGTTTCTTTTTGTCCTTTCCTCAAGTTCCTATTCTTTTCATTTTCACTCATGTGCCTCCCTGCGTTTTAGTAGCATTATCGCCTTGCATGGGGTGAAATGATAAGCCTCGCTTAGAAAATCAGGACAATTTGACGTTGCACGGATAATAACATCCTCATTTTAAACTGTCTCTACATCTTACGCATAAGCGGGGGTGACTTTACGAGTAGGGCGTAACGAACCGTTATTTGCGTGTGATGATCCTTTGTCGATGTGCAAATTGTTGTCGGTTTGAAGACTCCTGGCGTGGTCAGTTAGAAAGAGAACAATACCATTCCACCTGTAAGTCAGTAAATGCTCTAAAGTTTCCATACAGGGACTAGAATTGATGTAAATGTGCTTCTATAGACGGATGTTAGGAATACCAAGGTGAAACAGCTGGTGCTAAACTCCAGCTGCCTTTCGCATCTTAGTGGCTTTATCGCCTTGCTTGGAGTGAAATGATTAAAACAAAACATGAGCAACGAAGAAGTTTTAAAGAAAATGAGAAGGTGGAACACACTCATATTTTAAATCAGAACGAGTTGAAATTTCTAGAAAGACGTGAGGAAGGACGGCGTTGAAAACTTAATACTCACAAGACGTATCAACAGAGGAAGAGAAAGAGTAAACAGATTAACTAATGAGATTATGCAAATGGATTGGAAAAGGAGAGAGGACAAAGTCAAATATTGCATAGTGATATAACGGAGAGGGCGTTATGAAAAGCCATGATCGCCCACGTCCAGAAGGGTCATGGCATATAAAAGAAAATGTGTGAGTGGATGGCAGAGCAGAGATAAAGAGTGGGGTGCTAAAGTGATAAAATTGCTTCCACCTACGAGGAACAGGAAATTGTGGAGAGTAATGATCACCCATGTCCTGAAGAGACCCGGCATGAAAATGACGATAATATTTGAAACTTGTCATGGTAATATTAGCCATTTCCTTATAAGGAAACATTTGGTATTCATTGAGCAGAGAGCCAGTGTTACGTTTGGTTGAAAATCATAAAATATTTCTATTAAAACCTTTTTACAGAAAAATAGTTTCTAATGTCCACCATTATTGCTCTCCCAATATTGATGAGGGTTTCCTTCCCGAGTATTTGTTTGAAGTAGTGTGGGGAGTAATGGTCACCCATGTCCGGAAGGAACACTGTGCAAAAAATGACACTTGGGGCGAAATGATCAAACAAATAAATAAATAATTTTGAAAATTCTGTTTGTCATAAAGAACAACAAATACCAGACTTGTTTACTCATATGAAAAATCGGACATTAAAAGATCAAAACTTTCATTCGTAATTTCTATTCTAATAGTTTCTTTTCTCGCACTCCTTACCCGTGGAACTCTTTCACAATATCTTGTTTTTTTCTGTTACCCACGATCTTTAAAAATTTTAATGCGGCAACATCAATCGCCTTCCTGAAAGCTGTTCATTTATTGTCCTTTCTCCTCACTAAATTTTTCTCATTCGTTCTCACTATCAGTAAGTAGATAATTTTGCCTATCGCCCGGTTCACACTTCTCTTCCGTCGATTGAAAAGGTGTAGTGGTTTATATCTTGTTTCCTCTTTAGGATTGTGTTTCCAATTCCTTCTCCTAAATTCTTCTTATTCTGTTTCATTCACAGTATTGCCTAGTGTGGGGTCAGTGCAAGGGATCCGTGCCCTCTCCCGGGAATCTATGATACCCCCGAATCTATGATACCCCCGAATCTATGATACGGGGCCCCTCTCCAACATCTCAATTGTCCTAATGTCGTCGTGTGAATCATCCACATCCCTTTTATATTCCAACAGTAAAAAGGACGTTCTATTCGGACAACTTCTTTCTAAGAACTACTGCTTTGGGCACAGACTTCCGCTAGAATGCTTTCCTGATCTCTTCAAACTTGACTTACTCAGGTCTAGGGGTAACCATTCTCTTTCCGGCATAGACTTCACTTCTTGCCCTTTCTTACACTCATACAACATCACAGAGTAACTCTACTTTGAGTGACACTTGGGCCCTGTATTGGGTGAACATTAATATGTAAAATTCGTTCACCCTACTCGGAGGATTGGTATTGGCCAGAAAATACTGACTCACTTAGGAAACGGAAAGAAAACAACAAATCTTGATGTCTGTTTGGTGGAATTTCCAAAATGTACTGCATTTCGAGCTTGTTCCACACCCTTCGCGCCATTAACGCTAAACTGTATTGCCAGCAGCTCGACCGGACTAAAGGAGTGCCCTGCTTTGGTCAATCGAGGTCAAACTTGTTTCAGCAAGACAATGCGAGGCAATACACTGTAGACTCAGGAGTTCAAACAGATGGACGGTGTTGAGATTCTTCCACATCCACCATTCAGTCCCGATGCTGCTCCGGGTGACTATAGCCTATTCCGCGCAATGGCACACTTCCTCGGCAAACAGCGATTCAACACTGAAGTGAATGAAACTTGTATAGAGTTTGTTTATTTTTTTTTTAGTCAAAGCCAACGGACGGGTATCTCGGATAGATTCGGATGCTAGCTGGCAAAAGATCGTCGAGAATAATGGACATTATTTTGAAGAATAAATGTTGGTATTGCTCCATAGCTTTTTCTTGTTTTCTTTCCGCTTCATAAGTGAGTCAGGACATTCTGGTCAACCTTATATAATAATCCTGCCGCTTATCCTTTCCCCTGTTAGATCTTGCGTCGGACAAAACTGAACTAAACTGTAATAGTGAATAATGATTCGCTTTATTGTTTCCCAAGAAAGAAAGACACTTCGGATGAGACCTTGGCTCTAGAAGTCGAAGAATGTATCAAAGTGTTTACATAAGAAATATCAGTCATAAAGCGGGAAATAATAATTAAATAGCTTCAGTTAAAAGAGCTTTAGCTATATATATATTATTTGCCTTATTAATCTCTTGGTTTCGAAGTTGATAATGGATAACTAATTGACCAGTGTCTGTCTGCGTTCGCACTCAGCTAAATTGGCTGCGATTCTCACGTTTAATTGATCGAAGGAAGTGACAAAGGTGAACACGCAGCTGGAATGAAATGAAGATGTGAGAGTGAGAAAGAATAGAGTTCAGTGCGTGTGTGTTGACCGATCGATCGATAGTTACGAAACACACACACATACATACATATATATATATATATATATATATATATATATATATATATATATATATATATATATATACAGAGAGAGAGAGAGAGAGAGAGAGAGAGAGATGAATTAGATGGATAAATATATGGTTATGAACAAATTGAGCAATAGATATGGACTGACTGACAATAGATAGATAGATAGATAGATAGATAGATAGATAGATTCTTCTTCTTCTTTTTCTTCTTCTTCTTCTTCCCCGTACATTTCTCTTTTTGTTTAACTTCTTTCTTTTCTTCTTCTTCGCGTACATTTCCCTCCTTTTTCCTTTCTTTCTTTCTTTCTTTCTTTCTTTCTTTCTTTGCGAACGTTTCATCTTCCATCTCAATCCTTTCCCCTGGTGGTCAGCATCAGCCATAAGAGCAATTTCATTTAGGTGGCGTTCATTTTTGACTAAGTATATTACATCAACTATTCTGTCCTGACAAAGGAACCCCACTTTGCCTGCTGACTGCCACAGATGTCAGTGTCATGGTGGGTTTGAAAAAGAGGCGTTCCCACGTTTGGCCTGTGGGTCAACAACAGACTTCTTTTGGCCAACTATGCTTAGCGGTGTGTGATTCCTGATTCTTTTTCTTTGTCAAAGAGATGGATTAGTAGGGGGGGGTCCATTCTTGGGTGTTCATACAGAATTGTCCTCTTGCATTGGTTGCTTATGATCCAAGATTAAATACGAGTAGAAGAAAAGAATTGATGCCTTCTGCAAGCGACAAAAGTGAGCCCCAAATTTGCCTTTTCTTCTTTTCTCTTTCTCCTGTTTTCTCTTATTTTTTATTTAACCTATTTTTCCTAATTCTTCTTCTTCTTCTTCTTCTTCTTCTTCTTCTTCTTTTTCTTCTTCTTTGTACGTTTCCCTCCCATCCAATTATTTTCTTTTCTTCTTCTTCTTCTTTGAGTACGGTTTCCCTACGATCTCATTCATTTTTCATTATTTATTCCTTTCATTCTTTCTTTTATTCTGTTTTCTTTCTTTCTTTCTTTCTTTCTTTCTTTCTTTCTTTCTTTCTTTCTTTCTTCGCGTACGTTTCCTTTCTCATCTTTTCTTTATATCTTCCTTTCATTCTTTTTTTTTTCTTCGCGTAAGTTTTCCGTCCCATCCAATTCTTTTCTTTCTTTCTTTCTTTCTTTCTTTCTTTCTTTCTTTCTTCACGAAGGTTTCCCGGCCCATTTCATTCTTTTCCTTTCATTCTTCTTTCTTCGTGAACATTTTCCCTCCCATCTCGTTGCTTCTTTCTTTCTTTCTTTCTTTCTTGCTTTCTTTCTTTCTTTCTTTCTTTCTTTCTTTGCAGGCGTTTCCCTTACCACTTCTTTCTTTCTTTCTTTCTTTCTTTCTTTCTTTCTTTCTTTCTTTCTTTCTTGAAGGTTTCCCGGCCCATTTCATTCTTTTCCTTTCATTCTTCTTTCTTCGTGAACATTTTCCCTCCATCTCATTGCTTCTTTCTTTCTTTCTTTCTTTCTTTCTTTCTTTTCTTTCTTTCTTTCTTTCTTTCTTTGCAGGCGTTTTTACCACTTCTTTCTTTCTTTCTTTCTTTCTTTTTCTGAAGGTTTCCCGGCCCATTTCATTTCTTTTCCTTTCATTCTTCTTTCTTCGTGAACATTTTCCCTCCCCATCTCGTTCTTCTTTCTTTCTTTCTTTCTTTTCTTGCTTTCTTTCTTTCTTTCTTTCTTTCTTTCTTTGCAGGCGTTTCCCTTATTCACTTCTTTCTTTCTTTTCTTTCTTTTCTTTCTTTCTTTCTTTCTTCACGAAGGTTTTCGGCCCATTTCATTCTTTTCCTTTCATTCTTCTTTCTTCTTGAACATTTTCCCTCCATCTCATTTGCTTCTTTCTTTCTTTCTTTTTTTCTTGCTTTCTTTCTTTCTTTCTTTCTTTCTTTCTTTTTCAGGCGTTTCCTTTTCATTCTTCTTTCTTTCTTTCTTTTTCTTTCTTTCTTTCTTTCTTTCTTTCTTTCTTTCTTCTTTCTTTTTCCCGGCCTTTTTCATTCTTTTTCTTTCATTTCTTCTTTCTTCGTGAACATTTTTCCCTTTCTTTCTTTCTTTCTTTCTTTCTTTCTTTCTTTTCTTTCTTTCTTTCTTTCTTTCTTTCTTTGCAGGCGTTTCCTTACCACTTCTTTCTTTTCTTTTTCTTTCTTTCTTTCTTTCTTTCTTTCTTTCTTTCAAAGGTTTCCCAGCCCATTTCATTCTTTTCCTTTCATTCTTCTTTCTTCATTAGACATTTTCCTTCCCATCTCGTTGCTTCTTTCTTTTTCTTTCTTTCTTTCTTTTTCTTTCTTTCTTTCTTTCTTTCTTTGCAGGCGTTTCCCTTACCACTTCTTTCTTTATTTCTTTCTTTCTTTCTTTCTTTCTTTCTTTCTTTTCTTTCTTCGAAGGTTTCCCGGCCCATTTCATTCTTTTTCCTTTCATTCTTCTTTCTTCGTAGACATTTTTTCCTCCCATCTCGTTTTCTTTCTTTCTTTCTTTCATTTTCTTTCTTTCTTTCTTTCTTTCTTTCTTTCGTTTTCTTTTCAGGCGTTTCTTTTCTCCTTTTCATTTCTTCTTCTTTCTTTCTTTCTTTCTTTCTTTCTTTCTTTCTTTCTTTCCCCACGAAGGTTTCCCGACCCATTTCATTCTTTTCCTTTCATTCTTCTTTCTTCGTGAACATTTTCCCTCGTATCTCGTTCCTTCCTTCTTTCTTTCCTTCTTTCTTTCTTTCTTTCTTTCTTTCTTTCTTTCTTTCTAGTACGTTTTGCTTACAATCTCATTCCTTTCTTTCTTTCTTTCTTTTTTTCTTTCTTTCTTTGCAGGCGTTTCCCTTCCCACTTCTTTCTTTCTTTCTTTCTTTTTTTCTAGTACGTTTTGCTTACCATCTCATTTCCTTTCTTTCTTTCTTTCTTTCTTTCTTTTCTTTCTTTCTTTCTTTGCAGGCGTTTCCTTCCCAGTTTCTTTCTTTTTTTCCCCTTTTTAGTTTCCCGGCCCATTTCATTCTTTTCCTTTCATTCTTCTTTCTTCGTGAACATTTTCCCTCGTATCTCTTTCCTTCCTTCTTTCTTTCCTTCTTTCTTTCTTTCTTTCTTTCTTTCTTTCTTTGCAGGCGTTTCCCTTCCCACTTCTTTCTTTCTTTCTTTCTTTTTTTCTAGTACGTTTTGCTTACCATCTCATTCATTTCTTTCTTTCTTTATTTCTTTCTTTCTTTCTTTCTTTCTTTCTTTGCAGGCGTTTCCCTTCCCACTTCTTTCTTTCTTTCTTTCCCCACGAAGGTTTCCCGACCCATTTCATTCTTTTCCTTTCATTCTTCTTTCTTCATGAATATTTTCCATCCCATCTCGTTCCATCCTTCTTTCTTTCTTTCTTTCTTTCTTTCTTTCTTTCTTTCTAGTACGTTTTGCTTACCATCTCATTCCTTTCTTTCTTTCTTTCTTTCTTTCTTTCTTTCTTTCTTTCTTTCTTTCTTTCTAGTACGTTTTGCTTAACATCTCATTCCTTTCTTTCTTTCTTTCTTTCTTTCTTTCTTTCTTTGCAGGCGTTTCCCTTCCCACTTCTTTCTTTCTTTCTTTCTTTCTTTCTTTCCCCACGAAGGTTTCCCGACCCATTTCATTCTTTTCCTTTCATTCTTCTTTCTTCATGAATATTTTCCCTCCCATCTCGTTCCATCCTTCTTTTCTTTCTTTCTTTTTCTTTCTTTCTTTCTTTCTAGTACGTTTCCCTTACCATCTCATTTCCTTTCTTTCTTTCTTTTTCTTTTCTTTCTTTCTTTCTTTGCAGGCGTTCCCTTCCTTCTTTCTTTCTTTCTTTCTTTCTTTTCTTTTTCTTTCCTGAAGGTTTCCCGACCCATTTCATTCTTTTTCCTTTCATTCTTCTTTCTTCATGAATATTTTCCTCCCATCTCGTTCCTTCCTTCTTTCTTTCTTTCTTTCTTTCTTTCTTTCTTTCTTTTCTTTCTAGTACGTTTTGCTTAACATCTCATTCCTTTCTTTCTTTTTCTTTCTTTTTTTTCTTTCTTTCTTTTCTTTTGCAGGCGTTTCCTTCCCACTTCTTTCTTTCTTTCTTTCCCCACGAAGGTTTCCCGACACATTTCATTCTTTTCCTTTCATTCTTCTTTCTTCATGAATATTTTCCCTCCCATCTCGTTCCTTCCTTCTTTCTTTCTTTCTTTCTTTCTTTCTAGTACGTTTTGCTTAACATCTCATTCCTTTCTTTCTTTCTTTCTTTCTTTCTTTCTAGTACGTTTTGCTTAACATCTCATTCCTTTCTTTCTTTCTTTCTATCTTTCTTTCTTTCTTTCTTTCTTTCTTCCTTTCTTTGCAGGCGTTTCCCTTCCCACTTCTTTCTTTCTTTCTTTCCTCACGAAGGTTTCCAGACCCATTTCATTCTTTTCCTTTCATTCTTCTTTCTTCATGAATATTTTCCCACCCATCTCGTTCCTTCCTTCTATCTTTCTTTCTTTCTTTCTTTCTTTCTTTCTTTCCCCACGAAGGTTTCCCGACCCATTTCATTCTTTTCCTTTCATTCTTCTTTCTTCGTGAACATTTTCCCTCCCATCTCGTTCCTTCCTTCTTTCTTTCTTTCTTTCTTTCTTTCTTTGCAGGCGTTTCCCTTCCCACTTCTTTCTTTCTTTCTTTCCCCGCGAAGGTTTCCCGACCCATTTCATTCTTTTCCTTTCATTCTTCTTTCTTCGTGAACATTTTCCCACCCATCTCGTTCCTTCCTTCTTTCTTTCTTTCTTTCTTTCTTTCTTTCTTTCTTTCTTTCTTTCTTTCTTTCCCCACGAAGGTTTCCCGACCCATTTCATTCTTTTCCTTTCATTCTTCTTTCTTCATGAATATTTTCCCACCCATCTCGTTCTTCCTTCTTTCTTTCTTTTCTTTATTTCTTTCTTTCTTTCTTTCTTTTCTTTTTTTCTTTCCCTCGAAGGTTTCCCGACCCATTTCATTCTTTTCCTTTCATTCTTCTTTCTTCGTGAACATTTTCCCTCCCATCTCGTTCCTTCCTTCTTTCTTTCTTTTCTTTCTTTCTTTCTTTCTTTCTTTCTTTCTTTGCTTTCCGTTTCCCTTCCCACTTCTTTCTTTCTTTCTTCCCCACGAAGGTTTCATTGACCCATTTTATTCTTTTCCTTTCATTCTTCTTTCTTCATGAATATTTTCCCACCCATCTCGTTCCTTCCTTCTTTCTTTCTTTCTTTTCTTTCTTTCTTTTCTTTCTTTTCTTTCTTTCTTTCTTTCTTTTCACGAAGGTTTCCTGACCCATTTCATTCTTTTCTTTTCATTCTTCTTTCTTCGTGAACATTTTCCCTCCCATCTCGTTCCTTCCTTCTTTCTTTCTTTCTTTCTTTCTTTCTTTCTTTCTTTCTTTCTTTCTTTGCAGGCGTTTCCCTTCCCTCCTTCTTTTCTTTCTTTCTTTCTTTCTTTTCCCCCACGAAGGTTTCCCGACCCATTTCATTCTTTTCCTTTCATTCTTCTTTCTTCGTGAACATTTTCCCTCCCATCTCATTCTTTCTTTCTTTCTTTCTTTCTTTCTTTCTTTCTTTCTAGTACGTTTTGCTTACCATCTCATTCCTTTCTTTCTTTCTTTCTTTCTTTCTTTTCTTTCTTTCTTTCTTTGCAGGCGTTCCCTTTCTTTCTTCTTTCTTTCTTTCTTTCTTTTCCCACGAAGGTTTCCCGACCCATTTCATTCTTTTCCTTTCATTCTTCTTTCTTCATGAACATTTTCCCTCCCATCTCATTCCTTCTTTCTTTCTTTTTTCTTTCTTTCTTTCTTTTTTTTTCTTTCTAGTACGTTTTGCTTACCATCTCATTTCTTTTTCTTTTTCTTTCTTTCTTTTCTTTCTTTCTTTCTTTCTTTCTTTGCAGGCGTTTCCTTCCCACTTCTTTCTTTTTTTCTTTCTTTCTTTCTTTCTTTTTTCTTTCTTTCTTTTTTCTTTCTTTCTTTTCCCATGAAGGTTTCCCGACCCATTTCTATTCTTTTTCCTTTCATTCTTCTTTCTTCATGAATATTTTCCTCCCATCTCGTTCCTTCCTTCTTTCTTTTTCTTTCTTTCTTTCTTTTTTCTTTCTTTCTTTCTTTCTTTTCCCCACGAAGGTTTCCCTGACCCATTTCATTTCTTTTTCCTTTCATTCTTCTTTCTTTTGAACATTTTCCTCCCATCTCATTCTTTCTTTCTTTCTTTCTTTCTTTCTTTCTTTCTTTCTTTCTAGTACGTTTTGCTTACCATCTCATTCCTTTCTTTCTTTCTTTCTTTGCCTTCCTTTTCCTTCCACTTCTTTTTTTTCTTTCCCCCACGAAGGTTTCCCGACCCATTTCATTCTTTTCCTTTCATTCTTCTTTCTTCGTGAACATTTTCCCTCCCATCTCGTTCCTTCCTTCTTTCTTTCTTTCTTTCTCTTCTTCTACATATTATCATTCACTTATTCTCTCCACCTTTTTGCCAAACTCTCCTCACCTTTTGCGTAATTTCAGGGACGACACTCGTTTTTCCCCCCTCCCGGTAATTAAAAACAAAAGAAAAACTTAGTTAAATCACCATTATATTCCGCCTGCTACTACAGTTTCCAGCCACCTGCCAATATGACTTGAGATTATGTCATCTGAAATCACTGCCCGCATTGACAAGCGAGAAACAACTTCATCAGCCTTCCTTATGCTTAACGGAAGACTTTAGAATCATTGGTTTAGAGTTTCATGAACAATACGCGAGGAAACTGATTAAAAGTCAGAGGTTTGCTTCCAGCGATAAATACGACGACTGCGATCATGACAAATATATAGTACAGCTCTTTTTTTTATTTCTATCATCCATCGTGCATAGCAAACATTTTAGCCCCAGCTATCACTGAGTTGGTTTGCTGACTGAAATTAGACGTAGAATCTATTCAAGGTAGGAATTTCTTATGTTTTTTAAATTATTTCACCCAAAGCAATAAATCAAGGAGCGTTATTGAGTGTTAGATAATAAGAGAGAGAGAAAAAAAAACACTATTTTGGGGAGAGAACATTAAAAGAACAAGAATTAAGAAGACAGAAGATAATGGTTGACATTGCATTTAAATTTTTGAAGGTCAATGTTGACTGGGAAACAAAAAGTCAGTAGAGAGTTCCACAAGGGAGAAGTGCGATAGAAGAAACTATTAGCATAGAACTTACGGTTATATTTACCCATTTAGACTGTAAAAGGATGAGACATTACAGACAATCTAGTACCCATCTTAAATTCATAATCTAGGTACCATAAAGGAAAGGTATATTTATTTTGAAAATACGAACATGGAACACAAGACAGAAAGGGGGAAATTGGGGAAGGCTGGTTTTATATTTATATTGTATATATATATATATATATATATATATATATATATACAAAATTACAATCTTTAACTCCATACTATATACATATATATATATATATACATATGTGTGTGTGTGTGTGTGTGTGTGTGTGTGTGTGTGTGTGTGTGTGTGTGTGTGTGTGTGTAATGGAAATCTTGGGGGGATTTGAATAATTTCACATAATCGTTTAAAAATTGTTCAAAGAAATTTTGAATTATTAAAGTTTACGTGATTCCAATAATAACTTCAAATGAACTGAATGTATATATATATATATATATATATATAGAGAGAGAGAGAGATAGATAGATAGATAGATAGATAGATAGATAGATAGATAGATAGATAGATTTCGCATAATAATGCATCGCGTGTAGAACAAGAATCCTGAACAAAATGCAGAAAACACTGAATGGCCGTTTCAGACTTTTTTGTGCGGAGGACTCGTCAACAGTGCACATCCCCGCCTCAGCACCCCAAAAGGACGTCACTGATGAACTGCGATACAGCGAAACAGTCTCCCTGTTATATATATATATATTTGTATTGGCCAGAATGAGAGCCAATAGCTGGCTACCACGAATAAGCAGGAATATTCTATCGCCCAGCGTGAGAGCCAACAGTTGACTGACACGAATGTTAACTAGCATGCAAAAAAATTCGATAGCTGCATTCGTCACAAGTGGGAAAAATTTAAATCTGCATGGCACTTTACTCCAATTGGCTGATTTGCTTGCTTAAACTCAACGTTGATAATGATTCCGTAGAACTGGGTTGGGTGTGAAAAAGTATTTGTTGTTAACATTCTTTTTTCATTCGGTTTTTCCAGTTACGAGTCCTTTTTTAAAGCTGATCGTTTTGTGTTCATTTTGTTTAGTTCTTTCTTCGTAACAGATTTAATGTTTAGTATAGAGCTTAGAAAAAATTCGCAATGTGAGATAGGCAAGAAGTAAGGCATGTAGCAACATCAGCACAGCAAATGGCACTCCTTTAAAGGCAAGGAAGGGCAAAAATATTTTAAGTCAAGTGATAGCGATTGCTGTATGAGTCGTACGATTTTTGAATCAAGCACGGGCAATGTCGGGCCATGCTGCTAGTATATATATATATATATATGTATTGAAAAAATATTTGTAAACATATTCAATTATAAAAACGAAAACAAAACAAAACAAAACAAAGAAGTCTGCTGAGTCTTTTTTTTAGTTTGGTACTTTTCTTCTAGTTTTACTTAATCACTTTTTCCAATTAGTAAAAAAAAAAGTTATTTTTCCGAAATTAATGACCGAGATACAAGTACTTTGGACTATCGTTTATCGTTTTCCAGCAAAGATAATCGAGAGTAGAAAAAAAGGTCACTATTGCACTTGTATTGTTATTCGTTTAAAATTTGATACAATGTGACTCCCGTGTAATGAGTATCGGATAGAATTTTGCAATCTGTAGATCAGGTAAAAATTGTAATTTTGGATATCTCAAAAATAAGCTAGTAACCTTCGATCTTCTCCGAATTTATTCTAGTCATAAAAAAAAACGTTTGGAGTCTCAATCGTGTTCCCTGATTTTGAACATTGACAGAGACGCAAGTTCACCTAGCAACGTCGAGCCTGGTTAGTACGTAAATGGGTGACCGCTTGGGAATATCAGGTGCTGTAAGCCTAAATGCACAGGTGGCATAATGGGCTTACAGCCACATCACGTTGAAACACCAGTTCGCGTACGATCACCGAAGTTAAGCAACGTCGAGCCTGGTTAGTATCTAAATGGGAGACCGCTTGTGAATATCAGGTGTTGTAAGTTTAGATGTATAGAGGGCATAATGGGCTTCCGGCCACATCACGTTGAAACACCAGTTCGTGTATGATCACAGAAGTTAAGCAACGTCGAGCCTGGTTAGTAGCGAGATGGGTGACCACTTGGGAATAGCAGGAGTTGTAAGTTTAGATGTACAGATGGAATAATAGGCTTACGGCCACATCACGTTGATACACCGGTTCCCGTACATCACCGAAGTTAAGCAACGTCGAGCCTGATTAATAACTAGATGGGTTACCGCTTGGGAACACTAGAGTCTGTAAACTTTGATATCTGTGTAGTATAAAGCGTTTACGGCCATATGACGCTGAAGTACCGGTTCCTGTACGATTACAAAGTTCGCCTTTTATTACATAATCCTGTCAGTATAGTGATATATAATATTGAGAAAACTTCCTACAGAACATATAGTGGATAAATTTGGTCCTTCCCAAGACGAGTAAGATAAAAATGCTAGTGTTATTTAACTTGTATGGGAAATTCTAAGAGAACAAGCAGATATTACATTGAAAAACCGATTCCCGTACGATTACCAAAGTTAAGCAACGTCGACTCTGGTCAGTACCTAGATGTGTGGTCGTTTGGGGTATACCGGTGACTATATGCTTAGATGCTTGTATATTTTTATTACAATAATACATTTTCGTAATACAAATACGTAATTTTTATAAAGAAAATACCACCAATACATTTTTATATTAACATTACCAGCAATGCATTTTTATTATACAATGACAATCAAATACAACACTAAAAAGCGTATAAAAATGAACTTTTATAAAAAAATTACCAACAATTCATTCTTGTAGTGAAATTACCAACGATATATATTTTAAAAACCAGTTACCAATACAAATTACCAGCGGTATATTTTTTTAAAACCCGTTGCCAATAAAAATTACCAGCGGTATATATTTTAAAACCAGTTACCAATACAAATTACCAGCAGTATATATTATATTTTAAAAAACAGTTGCCAATACAAATTACAAACGGTATATATTTTAAAAACCAGTTACCAATACAAATTACCAGCGGTATATTTTTTAAAAACCCGTTGCCAATAAAAATCACCAGCGGTATATATTTTAAAAACCAGTTGCCAATACAAATTCCAGCGGTATATATTTTAAAAAACAGTTACCAATACAAATTACCAGCGGTATATATTTTAAAACCAATTACTAATACAAATTGCCAGCGCTATATATTTTAAAAACCAATTACCAATACAAATTACCAGCGGTATATATTTTAAAAACCAATTACCTATACAAATTAACAGCGATATATATATATTTTAAAAACCAGTTACCAATAATGCATTTTAACATCTACAAGCTATATATCTAAAAATGCTTTTAGCATGAAATTATAAAATTATATACGACATAACTGCAGTTGAAGACATAAACTGCGTACAAAATATTTAGATTTCGGTATTAAATAACCCATAAAGGTGTTGATATGCCGCTAAATAAAAGCAATCAACCAATATATGAAGAACGGAAAAAAGTCCCTGAATCTCTGTCGAAGCTAATTACATGCGGATTTTCTCCGTTAGCAGCAGAAGAGCTTTGTA